TCACATGCACTATAGCAAACTTAAAATGCTAATAATAAGAAATACTTTTTTTTAGATTTAATTTTATTTATTCATTCATTTATTTTAATTTGACCAGCGAGAGAGAAAATGAGAAAGCAAGCTACCAGCTCCAGAACTCGAACTGTGGTCAACCATATGGGAGCGTTGAGCCCCTTAACCACCACACCACCTGCTGGTCCCAGAAATAGATAATTTTCCAGGTGGCGTGGTGGTTAAGGCACTGGACATTCCCACATGGCCGACCACGGTTCAAATCCCAGACCTGGCAGCTTCTTTTCTCACTTTCTCTCTCTCTCTCTGGTCAAATCAAAATAAATGAATAAATAAAAAATTAAATACTTTAAAAAAATATATAAATGTGGGGGGACCAGCAGTTGGCATAATGGCTATGTTGCTGGTCTCCCATGTAGTCGACCACGGTTCGAGTCCTGGACCTGATGGCTTAAACTCATGCCGGGCACGTGTGTGTGCGTGCCCAAGATTCCAAGAGGATAATGGAGGAGAAAGGATGAGAAAAGACTGCGGCATGGCCATCCCTCCTGGGGGGGGGGGTGATTTCTTGCTTTCTCTCTCTGTGTCTCTGTCTTTCTGGTAAGTGCACACGCTTTATATATAGCAAAAACTTCTCAAAAAAAAAAAAAAAAAAGATAAATGTGGGATGACTCTGGCCTACTGGTTAAGGGCTCCAGATCCCACATAGCTGACTGTGCAGTGTAAGTCCCAGTCCCAGCCTTGAAAATACACAGGCACATGTCTGTGAGACCAAGGTCTGCACAGGATGGAGAAATGGAGAAGGGATGGTGGCATGATCACAATCCATTTGGGGATGCTCTCTCCATCTTTCTGGTGAGCACATGTACCCTTTAGCAATTAAAAAAAGACATACCTGGCCAGCAGGTGACATAGTGGTTAAGGCACTGGACTCCTGCATTGCCAACTGCCGTTGAGTCCCAGACCCGCAAGCTTTGAAACTCAAGTTGGGTATGTGTGCACGTGTGCCCAGAATCCTGAGAAGAGAACACAGAAGGAATTGTCATGTGACCATCCTGCCTGTGGGGTGATTTCTCACTTTCTTTCTGTCTCTCTGGCAAGCAAAAATCTCTCTTAAAAAAATAAATAAATAAAAAGGGACCAGCAGATGGTGTAATGGTTATATCACTGGACTCCCACGTGGCTGACTGCGATTCAAGTCCCAGAAATGGCAGCTTGAAACTCATGTCAGGTGCATGCATGCCCAAAATCCCAAGAGGGAAATGGAGAAGGGATTGTAGCATAGTCATCCTCCTGGGGTGGGGGTGGGAGTGATTTCCCATTTTCTGTCTCTGTCTTTCTCTGTGTCTCTGGTGAGCACATGTGCCCTACAGTGAAAAAAACTCTCAAAAAAGAAATAAGTACCAAATAAATAAAACAATAAATGCCTGAATGGTTTTTAAAAGAAAAAAGATGAGGAATCAGCAGGTGGCATGGTGGTTAAGGGCACTGGACTTCCATGTGGCTGACTGCAATTCAAGTCCTGGAGCTGGCGGCTTGCTTTCTCACTTTCTCTCCCTCTCTGATCAAATTAAAATAAATAAATAAAGTTTAAAGATAAAATAATTCTTTTTTTTTGAGAGGTTTTTGCTATAGGACACATGCGCTCGGCAGAGAAACAGAGAGACAGAAAGTGAGAAATCACCCCCCAGGGCGGATGGCCACGCCACAATCCCTTCTCCTCCATTCTCCTCTCAGGATCTTGGGCATGCACGCACAAGCACCCAGCATGAGTTTAAGCACCGGGTCCGGGACTTGAACCGCAGTCAACTACACGGGAGTCCAGCAACATAGTCATTATGCTAACTGCTGGTGCCAAATAAAATAATTATTTTAAAAAAGGAAAAATATGAAAAAGATGTAGATACAGGAATGTAGAAAATCGATTAGCTGTGGACACTAAAGAATTCAGCAACAAGCACCTTCATTCCCAAGAGGAGGAATGAGGCAAAGAATCACTCCTACTTGTCAAGTTCTGTCCACACAAAGCCGCCGGCAAATGCAGAATGTGCAGGAGGAGTACATGGTAATAATTCCTGGGCACCCTGAGAGATTGACCCTTGCTCAGCCTACTTTTGTGCTACCACGGACAACCAAGGTCACATTCTAGTAAAGGAGGCCTCACAACTGCCCCCCAAAAAACTCTGAAGCAGAAGTTGTGAAGCTCCCAAATAACGAACTTATAAGGAGGTGCTTACATAGTTACTGAAGAGTAGTTACTCCTCAAGGGAAGGAAGGCAGCACTGATACTATTTCACATTAGAGAACTGAGGCATATAGGGTTTGTAGAATTTATCATAAAGCACAAAAGAACTCATCTGAAAGGGAAGAGCTGAGAAGGAAGTTGAAGGTCTGGTCGAACAAGAGATGAACAATAGACTCAGCAACAAAATGACCAGTACGGCCTCCTCTAGAGGATTTGGCCTCTAGCCAAGCCAACCAAGTCAGTGGCAGCAAACACAGCAGAACTTGGGCGTCCCCAGCTTTCAGTTTTCTATTTTGCTCAGTAGGTAACTAGGGGACCATTAGTAAACTGGTTTCCCCAACTTTTTTTTTTTTTTTAACCAAGGAATGGAAAAGCTTATGGGTCAACTTTCAGGATGGTTAGCTTTTATTTATAAATGAGTAACACACGTGTGTACCTGGTACAGTATTCACCACTTAGCAGCAAGGTTTAATTAGATTACTTCACAATAGAGGATGAATCACAAGAGTCTAGGATCCTCCCCCATTAAATTCTTGACAGAAGAACCACAAAAATAATCTCTAAAACCCCTTTAAGATCCTATGACTATTTAACAAGTTAGTGTCAGATTTCCCTAACTTGCATTTTCTCTGGATCATTGTAAAGTGACCATGCCCTATGCCAAAGGCAATGTGTGGTATAAAATCAAGTATTGAAGTTTTGGTTAGGAGTAAGTGGTTCATATTTTGCACTAAGAACTCTAGTCAATGGTAACCCTACCTCTGCAACGCATCTGTAAAACTTTCTCTGGTAATATCTGGGAGGGAGGGCAGTTGAAGCTATGGAGTCTCGTTTTTTTGTTTTGTTTTGTTTTTTTCTTTTTTAGTTTTGCTATAGGATGTGTGCACTTGTTGGAGAGAAAGTGAGATCGCCCCACAAGGGAACAGCCACACTACAATCCATTCTCCATCCTCCTCCTGGGATTTTGGGCACCCACACGCATATGCCCAGCTTGTTTTTCAAGCCATTGTTTGGGATTCGAATGTGAAGTTGGCCATGTGGGTTCCAGCCACCTTAACCACCATGCCACCAGCTGGCACAGCTACGGAGTCTTTAAATGTCACTCCTACAACTTAAAAAAAAATTATTAATGGGAGGAGCAGGGCTTCAGCTCTGAAGAAATTTTCAAGGTTTCCGCTATTAAGGTCAAAGGCCTAGGAATGATGTGACCACCTGCAAATGATAATGATTTTCATTACAAGGTAGCCACAAAAGTTAAGTTCACAGCCTTGTCATCCTACTTACTGCAGACCACCTTCTTCAGAGCCTATTCCTTGGCATAATTTTTTTAAAATTCTTTTTTAAAAAGGCCCTATGCCTTTTTTGCTATAGCTCATATGCTTCTCAAGAGAAAGACAGAGGGACCAGCAGTTAGCATAATGGCTATGTTGCTGGACTCCCACATAGTCGACCACGGTTCGAGTCCCAGACTCGGTGGCTTAAACTTACACCGGGCGCCTGTGCAAGCATGCCCAAGATCCCGAGAGAATGGAGGAGAAGGGATTGCAGTGTGGCCATCCCCCCGGGGGGGGTGATTTCTCGCTTTCTGTCTCTCTGTCTGGGGAGCACACGTGCCCTATAACAAAAACCTCTCAAAAAAAGAAAAAAAAAAAAAAAAGAGAGAGAGAGAGAGAGAAAGACAGAGAGGGAAAGTGAAACTTGGCCCCAGTGGGGATGGCCACACCACAATCCCTTCTCCAAATCTCTCAGGATTTTAGGCATGCAGACACACACACCCAGAATGTTTTTCAAACTACCCAATTCAGGACTCAAATCACCTTAACCTACACCCCATGTGCAAGCCCCCTTGCCATAACTGACATTTTAGCAACAAAATTATAATTTGAAGATATCTAAGCACCATGTGTTGCTGGATTTAAATTTCAAGCTGTAGGAGACATGACAGTTTAATCTGCAATTCACTAAATGAACGTCACATCAAACTTCAATCTTTAAGAAGCTGTTAAAGCTGTAAGTAAAGGTTGGGTTTTTTCTTTCAAAGCCGGTCTCCTTCACCGTCCTAAAAGTCATATATTTGAAGTATGGATCAAAGCTGCACGAGTGATTTTCAATTATCTGGAATCTCAACAGAGTTTCCCCAGTAACACTGTACCAATGACACACAAAATAACTCCTCCAGTTTAGTTTGTGGGAGAAAATTCTTTAAACTCTTAAAGATCTTGTAGTCTCACAGAGATTACACTGGACTTAGCTGGGTTTTCCCTCTATGAGGGCAGCCATTTCTCTACAAGTTTTGGTAAAAATTACAACTCGGATTTTAAAATGCAAACAGATGTTCATAAAGCGTCCGAAATAGGCCACTTCATTCTATTCCTGGGCCGGGGAGGGGACTGAATTCACTTTGTGTCCCGACCCTGTAAAGGGCAAAACCCCACCCCTTTGGTGTAAACTCTTAAGAGAAGTGGGACAACACACTTTAGTTTCCCCAAGGCTGGCGACGTGTGGGGTCAGGTCGTTCTGAGAATCGAGGATGGGGGAAAGTCTTGAGGGCAATAGCGCTCAGAGATCTCCACGCACGGGCTCGCGAAGTCTCCACGTGCCCCGATCTGGCAAGTCCAGGGGGAATTAGTGGTTGCTACAGTAGTTGGAGGGCTGCTCCTTTCCGTAGCCCGGGCGGCGGGATTGCTTTGGTGTATTATACTCTGGGGCGGGGGACAGGCGAGCACGGGAACCTCCAGCGGACTGCCCAGCCTGAGGGGCGATCGGGCAGAATGGTGACCTCCGCCCTCCCCCGCGGCGCCAGTCTCAGGAATCTGGCGTCGCCCCCACCCCGCAGGTCGAGGTGGGGGTCCCGCTACGCCGGGCCTCGCCGCCATACCCAGGCCGAATGGGGGTGGGGAGAGAAGTAGGCAGAACTCGGCCTTAGCCTCCGCGCCCCCGTGGAAGGACAGCTGAGGGAAGCCGCTCCATCGGCGTCTCCCCTGCTGGGGTCTCGGGAAACACGCGGTAATTCCCCAAGAACCCCGCCCTCCGTGAGCGAGGCTGCTGAAGGGCTGCCGGAACGGTTTGTGGACCGGGATCGGCCGGGGAGACTCCAACCTTCACCCTCCCCGCTTCCCGGTCCCACTCCCCGCCGTCTCCCGGCGTCACCACTGCAGGCAGCCCACTGGGCCCGGCCTCTCCCCGCGCCCGGACCACCCCCCATGGGGTGCTCTCACTGCGCAGCGAGTCCCTCCGCTGCCTCCTCCCAGCCCAAAATGGCGGCGGCGGCCACCGATCTTCTCGTCGCCTTTCTCAAGGGCCGAGGATCCCTCCGCGCCTGCGGCCCCTCCCCCCCAGCCGGACCTATTTTCTGCCCGGTAAAGATTAACGCCATCAATGAACTCTTTAATTGAGTCTGGAAAGGTGGATCGGTGGTGCTTCCGCACAGCTAATCGTTGATGAAAATGTGACTATTGACAGATGGTTTGGCCAATCGAAGGACGGAGCGGTGAGCGCGAGCCGCCACTCGCGCAGGGGTAGATGGGTTTTGTAGTTCTCGGATGTGGCCGTTGACGTGACAGGATCTTGGACCGCCTTTCCAGGCGAGGAGAACTACAATCCCCAGCAGGCACCGCGCTGCCAGGCTTTCCCCTCCCCCAACCTTAGAGCCTGAGCGGCTTGACCAGAGCTGCTGCAACTGCAGCAGGAGGTAGGGCTGAGGCGTTGGGAATTGCACCGACAGGCGGTCGCACAGAAAGACACACAGATATAGTCGTGTGCGTAGTCCTTGACAGCAAATAGGTCAGTTCCACCTCTGCAAAACCTCCTTCCATGATCGTTTCTCCTCTTCAAAGAAATCCATCCTTCTCCCAATTGGGTTTCCCTCCCAGCTGCACGTAGTGTGAAGACTTCTCTTTCCTCTCTTTCTGGTCTCGAGGGAGGCAGGTCAGACCCCGTCAACAAAATGGCTTCAGCCCAGGTCCCAGCCATGCTTCTTGGGGCATTGCCGTCTGGAACTCAGCCTGGGGAGGAGGTGGGGGTTGCTTGCAAGATTGGGGCCCCTGGAGGTAGTGGGGAAATCTCGCTACATGGTGTCTTGTGGGAGCCACAGACCCACCGCACCCCCAGCCTCCCCAGGCAGTCTCCTTTTCCGCTTTGGTTGTTGCAAGAACAAAGCTTAGGCCTAGTGTCCTGGCTGCCAGACTGAGCCTCAGTGACTTCCAGGAGGACAGTGTAGGACATAAGCCTTGCCCCGAGGCACAGTGCTGTGAAGATGTGCCCTTCCTCCCACTTGGCCCCTTGCTGGCTGGAGGTATGAGAACCAGGCAATGGAGGCAGCTTCAGGGCCTTCATTTGAAAATGGGGGTGTAGGGCTGCTGCTAACAAAATGGCTGCCACTGCCTGGGCCTCAGTCTTCCTGAGCATTCTCCTCAGCACTTAGGTTTCCGTTATTGTTCAAAGCAGGTGTCACTAGTTAAAGGCAGCTGCTGAGAGATTTGGAACTGAAGAAGATGGCCACTTTGAACCAGACCAACTCTAACACAGAGTCCCCAGCAGCCCTGGAGGAGGCCAAGGTAAGCTCCCACCCTCCCAGCCCCTTGAGTCCCCTGTAGAAGGATCCTGCCTGCTGGGACCCTAGCTTCAAGTCTCAGATATGTTGGTAGACTCAGAAAGCCAGTCTTTTAAATGACTCCCTACTATGTTCTGGACAATAGGCCAGCTGCCAAATCTGTGCTATCTCATTAAATCCAAGTAGTTCTTCAAGGAAGGAATTATTTCCAGTTTTCAGAAGCTAAGGTTCTAAGAACTAAAACACCTTTTCCAGAATCGTGCAGGCTGCAAGCAGCAGACCCAGTGTTTATACTCAGGGCCCTTGAGTTCTGACAACAGAACTCAAAGAACTTGGGTGAATATTTGCATTTTGTCCAGGCTAAGAACCAAGTCTGAAGCTGGAGGAAGAGGTTTTGATTCATAATTTGGGGCGAAGGTTAGGAGTAGAATAAAACCCAGGAGAGGAGAGAGACAGGTTGTATCAGGCTCTCAGAGAAGCCCTTCTGGCAACAGGAGTGCGTATCTCCTCAATCCATGCTCTCTGGTGCTGCCCTGCCTTAACCATTCTTTGCTAGCCCCCAAGTCTGTATAAATGAGGAAGGAAATTAGGCTGGGGGTGGGGGTCAGAGGAGCTTCTTCCCATGTTTTCTGGATTTCTTTAATTTAGAATTCATGGCATGTCAGGGCTAGAAGGTTTAGAGAGGGCAAATGACTCATCCAGGTCATACACTTATCTGTAGTATAATGGTGGTAAAGGGACAAGACTTCAGGAGGAAGGCAGCATGTAGGGACAGGGAGGAACGTTAAGGGACAGTTATTGAGGGCTGGGAGCAGGTGAATGATTCTGTCCACACAAACAAGCCACTTTGCTTGGGAGTTTTCAGCAACCCACTCTGTCCCAGGTGAGCCAGCAGCTCTGTCTCTGTTGGCCCAAGCCACTGGTGGAGACAAAGCCTATTGCTCATGATTGGTGATCTCCCTGCAGGTATAATAACACAACATTTCACACACACACACACACACACACACACACACACAGTCCAGCGTACCTCCTTTTCCCTGAACTTCTCTTCAAGGGCCGTAAAACCCACATAACATACCCTAGCTCTTACAGGCCTGCATATACCACATCCCCCAATACACACGAGCTCAGCTGTCTCAGAACCATGTTGTGTAATATAAAGCATACCAATGGTAGTGGTTATTATTAGAAATCCCCCAAACCACAAATTTAGAGCAATTCATTCCCCATCCTCCACTTTCAGTACTCCCACCCTCACCACAACAGAGATAAACAGATGTCCTGAACGTACACATACTCCCTGCCACCTCCCGGATAAGTTGTGGAGCTCTCTCACTACAGACTGGAAACTGACCGTTCCTCTCCTTGGGTAGAACCTCTCCTGCACTCATGTACAAGATACAAGAGTGATGCCAACCTCTGCTGGAATAAATATATTCCTTCTTCTTTAGCTTAGAAGGATACAAAAGAGAGTCTTACTTTCCAATGGGACTCATTGGATTCCCTTTTTTTTTTTTTTTTTTTGATTTTTTTTCCATATGGTGTATGCACAAGCAAGAAAGAGAGAGGGAAAGTGAAAAAAATCACCCCCCGAGGAGGGATGGTCACACTGTAATTCCTTCTCCTTTCTTTCAGGATTAGGGGCATGCACACACATATGCTTAACTTTTTTTTTCTTTTCCTTTTTAGAATTATTTAATTTTATTTATGATTTTTTTCTCTCTCTTCTTTTTTTTTTTTGGAGAGGTTGTTGCTATAGGGTGCATGCGCTCGCCAGAGAGACAGAAAGCGAGAAATCACCTCCTGGGGGGGATGGCCATGCCGCAATCCCTTCTCTTCCATTCTCCTCTCAGGATCTTGGACATGCACGCACATGCACCCGGCATGAATTTAAGCCACCGGGTCCAGATTCGCACTGCAGTCAGCTACATGGGAGTCCAGTGACATAGCCATTATGCCAACTGCTGGTCCCCTATGATTATTATTTTTTCAAATTTGCTATAGGGCACATGTGATCACCAGAGAGAGACATACAAAGTGAGAAGGCAAGCCAGCTGGTCTGGGACTTGAACCGCAGTCGGCCATGTGGGAATTCAGCGCCTTAAAACATCATACTACGTACTGGCCCCTCTAGTATGTTTTTTTTCTTTCTTTTTTAAATAATTATTTTAACTCTATTTATTTCTTTTTAATTTGACCAAAGAGGGACAGAGTGAGAGAGAGAGGGAAAGTGAGAAAGCAAGCTGCCACTTCTAGGACTTGAACCATGGTCGGCCATATGGGAGTCCAGTGCCCTTAACCACCACACCACCTGCTAGCCCCATATTTGGTGTGTGTTTCAAGCCACTAGTCTAGAACCACAGAATCAGCTATGTGTGATCCAGCACCCTATAACTCCCATGCCACCTGCTGGCCCCAGATTCCCATGTCATTTAACTAGTACTAAACATTCACCTTGTGCCATACATAGAGATACAGTGATAAATTGAACAGACAAGACACATTCTCATGGGAGGAAGACAGATAGAAATGATAATATACTAAATGCTATATGGGACACTAACTATATGATATAATGAGTCACTGGGAAGAGGGGGACAGGGACATTGGAATTGAGGATGAAAAGTCAGCTATGCAAACTGCTGAAAACAGGAGTAACATAATTTGTTGGATCAAGTGCAGAAGGGGTCCCTTGTTCAAAAATTATTGCATTTCAGACAGAGACAGCATACATTAGCCAAGCATGGGCCCTTTCTGAACACGGAGCTCTGTGCGACTGCACAGGTTGCTTGCCCATGAAGCCAGTTCTGTCTGGAAGACAAGCTTTCTAGAAAAAGGGAAGACCAAGTGTGATTTGGGCTCTGATTAAGCAAATGCATCAGGAACCATGTTCCCTCCCAGTTTTCTCCTCCTACTTCATTCATTTGAGCAGTATTTATGGAATGCCTACTCTGTGCCAGGTATTATTCTGGGCATTGAGGTTGCAGAGTGCAGTACATGGGAAAATTCCAGTGGACAGGTAAGCCCATAAACAAATGGTTGCAAAGGGTGAGGGACTAGAGTGACTGAGTTAGCTGAGAATGGAAAGACTGGCTTTAGGCTGGGTACACAGGGAAGGATTTCATCCTCGGGGACACACTGTTTGTGACCCATCATTCTTCCTCCCTTCTCTTCAGGCCTTTGGCATTCCAGGGAGTCCCAGTATACCCCCTGAACCTCACAACTCTGGTGGTTCTCTGCCCCTGACACCCTGGATGGAGAACCACTCAGAGGATGAAGATCTTGCTGGGGCTGGCAGGAGCCTGGGCTGGAACAGTAAGAATGCCCAGACCGAGAGCCTGGAAGGCTGCTCAGCAGAGGCTGTGCTGGGCCGGAAGAAGCACCGTCGGCGGCCATCAAAGCGCAAGCGACACTGGCGGCCCTACCTAGAGCTGAGCTGGGCTGAGAAGCAACAGCGAGATGAGAGGCAGAGCCAGAGGGCCTCCCGGGTCCGCGAGGAGATGTTTGCCAAAGGCCAGCCGGTGGCTCCCTACAACACCACCCAGTTCCTGATGAATGACCGAGACCCAGAGGAGCCCAACTTGCATGTACCCCCAGGGGTCTCCCACCCGGGCTCCAGTGGGGACAGTGAGGCAGGGGACAGCGATGGGCAGGACCGGGTTCACGGCGAGTTCCAGCAGAGGGACTTCTCTGAGGCCTATGAGCGCTACCACACCGAGAGCCTGCAGGACCGCAGCAAGCAGGAGCTGGTGCGGGACTACCTGGATCTGGAGAAGCGGCTGCTGCAGGCAGAGGAGGAGACAAGGCGGGTGCAGGCGCCGGCGGGCGGGAACCGGCC